CCCCGCCCCTTCTCCCCGCTTGCCCCCCCCCCCGCCAGGCTGGCCTGGCTCACCAAAGAAGCAGTAGATGATGCCGAAGAGGCAGCACATGGCGCACACCACTGAGGGCACCACCTGGTAGCGACGCTCGATTTCCTGCTTTTTTTTTGGCCTGGCTCGTGCGGCAGCAGCTTGAACCGCAGCGTCTGCACAGTTGCAGTCATGGCTCTGGGGACTCCCGGGAGAGGCATCAAAATCTCCGCTCCTGCCCCATGGCTCGCCGGAAAAGCTGTGTCCCAGCACCCGCCCCAGCTGGGGAGAGAGAGAGAAGGGGGATGAAGGTACCACCGACATGTGCCCGATGGCGATGCCCACCACTCGGCACCCAGCCGCCGAAAACCTCGCTCTGGCCCCTTGCAACCTGGGTGGGAAAGAAGAGAATGGAGGAACAGCCTCATGCACCTTGGGCCGCAGGGCTGCAGACCCTCACCCAGAGAGTGGCTGGCGAGACTCCCCAGGGAGCCAGTCTGCACCCCCAGGGAGTTTTGCTGCCAGGACATAGCACTTTCTAATTTGTCTGTGGCTCCAATTTCCTGCCCCTGGCTCTCCAGCGCCCTTTCCCTGCTCAATTAAAGGGAGACTTCCTTTTTTTTCTGGTATTTTCTGCCTGTGAAGTAATTATGCTCAGTAATTAAGTCACCCCTCAGTCTTCTATTTTTACAGGCTAAACAGATTGAGCTCTTAAAGCTTGTACTCCAAGGCATTTTCTCCAATCCTCTAATCATATTTCTGGCTATTTTTCATCCCCGCTCCAGCTCCTACTGTCCTTGTAAAAACAAAGCAGGCCCCTGTGTTGGATCCAGCCCTCCCACGCCAACCCATGGGGCTGGAGAGGCACTGGCCCTGGCTGGTGCTGCCCCTTACTCGAGGGCTCACCCGTAATGCTGTGGCTGCACTGGGAGGCAGAGCAGGAGGTCACTGGGCCCCCCGCAGTGCCTACCCAGACGGAGGGGCCATAATCCCCTGCAAAGACTGATCCAGCTCCAGCTTAAACCTAATTACAGCCGCCGTCTGCCCACTCCCACCTGGAGCCAGTTCCAGCATCCCTTTGCTCCCCTGGTGCCTTTCCGGGTTCGGTTGGTTTAGGATGGGTTTATTGTCACTGGTTGTGCCCACGCCAGCGCCGGTCCTTCCAAGTGCCACGTTAAAGCAGCCAGCTCAGGACGGCTCACAAAACCAGAGCACCGGAAAGGGGCAGGGAAGTGGGCAGAGGCTGCGGTCATGCCTTTCTACTGCCCAGCACCTCGCTGCTGCCCGGGCCGGGCTC